AACTTCGGGAAGCATATCCACTTCTCTAATTAGACATCCATCTTGTTAATAGCCCTACCTATTAAAATATTTGGTTGTATTTTAAATAAAAGACAAAAAAGAGATGAAAATTAATGCCACTCACTTTAGCATTCATGTCTCTCAGTACATCCACAGTTAAATCGCAATTTACGAAACAAATTTTTCATTCTTTACGACTCCAAGTGACTTCATCGTGGATTATGAGATAAGATATATTTTTTTACTTTTTGAAAATGTAACAGCGGGTTCTCGTCGTTAAAGATATTAGCAATTTCCCCTCTTGTCTGTCGTCAAGTGCATAGAAGTCAAAGTTGTGAGTAGGGTGTAATTTCGCCTGAAAGGATGAATTGTCTACCGTCTGAAAGGGTTCTCCTGAGTATATCATGTTTTTATGTGTTTAAGATTTCTAATAATTCTAATACTATAGAATTACTCAGTGCTACCGAAGTATATACCAACTCTCGAAAGAGATTTCATTTATTCTTATAGACGAGGCACCTGCATTTCATATCTGTTACCTGCACGAATATTATCACTTCAGTGCAATGCAATACGGCAAAAATCATTCTAAAGAAATATCATTTCTGAAAAATGATTTTTATCCCAAATTTTATCTTGAGTGATATTCATTCCGTTGTAACTACGTAAAGATGTAACATGTTGCTGTTGATAATGATGTGAAATCGCTTTCAATGTTTTTGTTTCTGTTGTTTTTTGCTTTTGTCTTTTTTAAACGTTTTTTCTTGTGTTGATGGGTTTTGAGGAATTTGAGTGTGACATTGACCGACTCTTTAATCAAATTCATTATTGTCAGAGGCTCAAACTCTTTCTTTGCATCAGGCAATCATAACGGAAAGCAACCCCGAATCACAACAGTCACTTTGATAAATACTGCGATGCAGTACAATAAGCGATTGAACCAATTTTTTTATCTTCAGCAAGAAGCGTCATCAACAAACATCATCACTCCTCTTTAACATTTAGCTGATCATACTTTGGCAGGTAGATCAAAACCAACGTAAATCAGCAGGTAGCGAAGAATATTTGTTTATTTTCTCGTGGTATTTTTTCCTGCTTCTTTCCTCCCAGTGATGGAACGTAGTGAGGATTAAGAATAGATGCTTCTTTTTATTCCTCGACTTCATTGGTAATGTGATGTCGCAGCAGTAGTTTTTGCGTTGTAATTCGGCTGTCCTATGCCTTGTTGTGAAAAGAAAGATCATGATCATCATGATCATAATAAGGGTGATTAAAGTAATAATAATCATAATAATAATGATAATAATAATAGTAATAACAATAATGATTTTTTTATAAAATAATACCTTTAAATACATTCAGCCAAAAAAATTTTACACAACTTGATCCTAAAGCTAACCTAAATACTATGTGAAATCAATCTATAAACTCAATGAACAATGCTCAAAATCGAGCTATACTAATTCTTTCAATAAGAATGACTGAATCTTTCAAACCGAAATAATCCTTAATAATAACAATCACTTATATTATCAAGGGAGCTAAAAGAGCGTTTCAGCATGTATTTACACAATTTGCATTCAAACATATTTAAAATGCACTCGATAAACCATGAAACTATATTTTACACATAAGAGAAAAAGATATTAAAAATTGCAGGACCTACCTAGATTTTGGCAAGGCATCTATCTAATTCAAAGTCCGCTTCTTAACAATAATGATAGTTGTAATAATAAAAATAGTAATGATAATAATTATAACAATGATAATGATAGAAATAATAAAGAAGATACAAAAATAGAAAACATCATGGACATTATCAATATTATGCTTATCGTTTTTTCTAGTGTCGCTTGTCTATATTTGTTCTCGTTCACATGGAACTGTTGTTCAAAGCCGTGACGGAGTGGTCATATAGATAATGACTTTATTTCAGGTAAAATACAGCAAATTTTGGGTACCGTGTCCACAAAGTTGCATAGCGTTATCTTAAAGATAACAACACCTCAGTTCCAGTTCGTTGATATCAACCTTCCCAGGAAGTTTCGTGAACAATTTTTTTACGCAAAACTTTATTATCCTAAATTTTCATAGTTATTAGCCATTCAAACGTGCAGGTCCAGGTTAATGGAGTTCGTATTTGTTCAACAATGCTCTATCTTTTAGGTTTCCCTGTTTCGGAGATTTCCATTTTGAGATTTAACTGTAAGTTCGTTGTTGCCTGAGAGAGAGGGTTACTTAATGCTCAAATTCCTGTTCTTCTGTTCTTCTATTTACCTATTTGATCTCTCATTCAGTGCTGTTTTCCGTATTGGTCAAACTTAACGACATGACCACACAATAAACAAGAACTGTTTTTTTTCTTGCGAATATCCTTATCAAAAACACACGAGCAAACATTTATAGGTAGGCACCTATCACTGTTGCAAATTATTTGCATGCCTGCCATCAGATCCTAATATTTCTTGTGGTTAGATGCCAAGGAAACACTTAGAAACCAAAAAATTAACGAGAATGATTGTATAATTTATCCATGTGGAAACAAAATTTTTATGATACAAAAGATTCTCATTCCGTGTTCCACCGTCTCGTACAATATTTGGTATGAAATGTTGTTTTCCAGTAATAACAAACCACTTTTTTAGCCGTGCAGCAGAAAAAAATTATTGCAAGGCTAGCTTTAAATAATGTCTGTGCTGCATGAAAGTATGTAGCAACGCCTGGTTACTGAAGGGTTCAGCTTTCGAATTTTGATCGAAAGACGAGTTTAAAAACGTAAGAACACTTTCCCGAACTACATGCGCGAACAATATCAAAGAAAAATTGGCAAAACCTTAAAATCGAGCGTTATTTAACCAAATTAAAAACTGTTCATCGCACCGTTTACTTATTTGGATCGGTCATTAGGATCTTTCCACGAAATAAATTCAGTTTTTTATGATACGACACTTTTCCTAAGCGTTTCATTCTTGCTCCTTCAACAATTTTCTTTTTGCATCATTTGGTTTTACGTCTTCTTATTTAATTGAACCTATATTCAGAAACGATCACTTATGTAAACTTACTATGCAATAAAAGCCGGCAAGAATTAGACTGAGATGAAAATAACTGTGCATATAATGCAAATTTGGGAAAGCACGGCAGATGCGCTGTCTTCCGACTCTTGGTTTACACATTCTGAGAAAATGCGTAATCAAGAAAATTCCGTTGGTCAGTTAGCGTATGATGATTGGATTTCCGTTGGTCGGTAGCTCACGATGATTAGAATGGTTTTGCATGTGGGCAAAGCTGTTTTAGACTTATCAGTCTTTTGGCTGAATCAGACTAAATTTACAAAGCTGTTGTAGACTTATCAGCCTTTTGGCTGAATCAGACTAAATTTACAAATCATTGTGTAAGTCTAAGAATGATAGGGTTCACACTAGCAGTCAGCGCGCAACAATGCATTGCTGCACGACGCGCATACAAATTTGACCTAACTTAAACATTACTTTATGCGAGCATAAACAATTACAAAAAATAGAAATTATTTTTTGGACATGAAATTTTTCTTTGTGACATGAAAAGAAAATGTTTCTTTCTGTTCCCTAGAGTGTTTGCTTATTTTCTACATAGGGGCAGAGAAATAAATTTGCCCTTGCCATATAATGGTGGATTTTTTATTTCAATATACTTTCTGATTATTATCACTGATAAAAGTTAACTGTTATTTTGTTTATCGCGATTAAATCTCTTCCCACTATATTGAGTGCAAAATTCATTAGCATGCTGGTAGAAATATCGTTAAGGCATCAAGGTTGTCGTGGTGTTTTCGCAATTTCATCCAAATAAAATAACCAGTCTCAGAAACAATCAACTTAAACACCAATTGGAATCAACTAGAATTTCATGAATTTTCAGGTATACCAGTAAAAAAAAAAGGCAGCTATGCTTTGTTTGTGCAATCAAAGTGCCGATTCATTTTCGGTATTAGCTTCTAATCACAATTCGACCCTCAGTGATCTTTCAGGACTTTATATGTAACTCGACAACCTCCAAAATCAACCAACTTTAATGCTACCTCAATCCCAACATACCTTAGACTAATCTACTGTCCCATTTTTTACTCCTGCATAGCTTAATCTGTTCTTGCGATTAGTTTTGACAAGATTCTTTTTGCGTTGGCGGGATAATATAAATATCATATAAGCATACCGACCACCGCATCAATTTTGCAAAGGGGGCGAACGAGCTGAACTATGTTCAACATTTACACACCTTCGGTACAACAGTGAAGACATCCGACAACATGAAATCAAACATGGGTTTTCCAAACATATTAACGAAAGAAAATTGAAAAAAGCAACAAAACCGCTATCCTGCCGACAAATAGCAATACCTTTGCTGTGTTTCGCTAAGACATCGAGATATTCTACGTTCATCCTAAAAGAAATACTTTTAATCTTGACGGCGCCTTGCTGTTTATCTTAGAGTTCGAAGCCAAAATGAGAACATTAACTGTCATACAATCCCACTGGTATTATACAGAGCTATGGGTAATAAGACCCACTCGGGACGAGCGCGCAAGTGTAATTCGCAAGCCACTAGGGATTTCATCGGACAAATGCTACACTTGAACAATATCGATTTTAGTAGACACAACATTTACCAACCTCTTAGAGAAATTTATTAAAGAAATTCCTTCGAATTATTGGCTTTCTTTCAAGACCGAAAAGTACAATGATGATAAATTGTTTTTATGAAGTACGGGAACACTGGGCGCAAAAGTACTATAGGATGGATAGAGAAATTTTGATCAGATGTTAATAGAATAAGTATGAAGTCTGGTGAAAGAAATGTGATTTAGACTCTAACACCCACAATCTCTCTGTCCATAAGCCATATATTTTCTTTTTTTTTTCCAAAGGAAATATAATTTCCCCGATAGTAATACGTAACTTTTTGAAGTCTTTCATCCATCCACTGATAAAAGGATAACTCAAAGATTGCAGGCAAACGCATTCAATAGGAAAACCTCAGTAGGTTTATTTAAGACATAAGGTACAGTATCTCTTAGTGTACTCAAGCAGTGATAGTTTTTCTTAATGAAACACAGATGGTGTGAAACTTTCAAACCAAGAAGTGGAGTAAGTGGTATCTGTTCTCCGTGCAACTATTCTTGTTGATATGTTCTGGTTTCTCCTTTGTCCATCATGTCACACACTTCGAATCTGAAATTGAACAAATTTTGAATATTAAAACTTGCTTCTCTGTCACCGCGTTTCTAAAAAAAACAGAGAATTACTCTCATTGAAATGTTTTTAAATTTATTTAAAGGCAACGATCAATTTAACTGCGTTATAGGGGTGCGAAACTTCTGTCGCTCATTGCGCAGAATGCTATCGTTTTTCGCGACATGTAATTGCAGCGCAACCAAAGGAATAACAATTTGCATGTCTAGAACCAGTCACCTGTGATTGGTTAACAGATTTAGCGTTTCAGAATACATTAAATTTAAGTTTTAATCAGTATGTCGATTGTTAGCTTTGTGTGGTATTTTTAGATCGTCATCCGAGGGGAAGCACTTCTTCAATAGGCTAACCATTTTTCTTGCGCGCATCTTGTTAAAAAAATTAAAAACGACTCACACTTTAATATAGATTTTCAACAACAGTAAAAGGTAGGTTTTAAGCAGACCTCCCCTTCCTCTGAAAGTATGTCCCGATCGACTTATCAATGTTTGTTTATGCAACAGTATACATGTACTAAGACTTTATGGAGGTTTAAATTCACTGGGAATTTTATATAGTAAATTGAAACTTTTTTTCCAAAAAAAGCGTAGAAACATAAAAAAAATTTAGAGTTGCCCAAACTGTAAGATTTCTTTTCATACTAAGGCTTGCAGGATCAAAAAATCTTCAATCAAACTTTGACACTATAGTTTGTAGTTATATGGTACAACATGATCTTACTTTGACATTTCATTTGGCAAGCTTGGAGAGAACGAAAGTTGTTCTTATTTCCTTCGCAGCCGCCGTAAATGAATTGCTGGCATTTTCCGGTATTCTTGTTAAAAAAGAAACGCGGAAATGCAGCCCTGCATGGTCCAGGATCTTCGTGCAGACAGCAGACTTCAGCCAAATCTGAGCAATCCTTTGCAACTTGCTGATCTACCAAAAAGGCAAATGTGCATGTTACATGAAATCCCCCGGCTATTATCCAGACCTAATGGGAGTCGACTGTCCAGCGGCATTTTTCATGCAAGTCAATGTTCAAATAGGCCTTGATTCCATAAGCAGTAGCTACAGGTATCATAAATATTAATGGTCTTACCTGGGCATTTCCATTGGCAAGCCTGAAGAGAACGAAAGTTGTTCTTGTTTCCTTGGCAGCCACCGTAAATGAACTGCCGGCATTGTCCGGTATTCTTATCAAAAAAGAAACGCGGAAATGCAGCTCTGCATGGTCCAGGCTTTTCGGGCAAACGGCAGACCTCATCCAAACTTGAACGATCTTTTGCAGCTTTCAGATCTATGAAAAGGGAAATGTTCAGGGATTGTCCTGTAACTGTATCATAAAGTTTGCACTTAAACCACCAGCCGACGGCTATTTTGGTCTCTGCAGCCCGAAGCTACTAGTATAGGACACAGTTTAGGGTTCATCCCTCACCCCTTCCCTTCCTCTATGGCTGGGGTGGTGGTTGTGGTATGTACGAGATAAAAACTAAAAAAGTATACAAGAAACATCTTACAAATCACATTCTATCACGGTGATTTTACCAAGATTTTCAGCTGATTATTTCATCAGTCGCGAGGGCGATTATTTTTAGGGAGAAAATACTTTCCCGATCACCCCTTGTAGATGACAACAATGAATATGGCGAGAAGTTAAAAACAAATGTTATTTCCAAGTGATGATCAAGGGTAAAGCAGATTTTTTGCGCTTTGTATAGCATCGAAACATGATGATGCTTATCGATTCTCCGTGAAACGATTTTCGCCAGTAGTGAATTATAGGTTTTCAAGTGAAACTGTTCTGCCTCTGACAGTTTATCATGGTCGGCTTATCTACGTTTGCCCAAGCAACGATGTAAATGGTTTGTCGGGAGATTATGCCTAGTGTACTGAAAATTGTTATGATGTTTCTCTTTTCATTGTAAAGTTCACTCAGTTTATTCAGAGCTACCATTCAGAGAAAGCCCAGAAAAGGATAAACCTCAGTTACCCAGACGCTAATGCTTTGTTTTAATACTACAGTTAACAGGATCGGCAAGCTCCGGCAAAGATCCAAATAAGTGCTCAAATAAACATTAATCCCGTATTGAGTAGCTACATGGTCTTACCTGGGCATTTAACTTGACAAGCTTGGAGAGAACGAAAGTTCTTCTTGTTTCCTAAGCAGCCACCATAAATGAAAGGCTTGCATTTTCCAGTATTCGTGTCAAAAAAGTATCGCACAACAAAAGCCCAGCATGGCCCAGGCTTTTTGCGCAGACGGCAGACTTCGTCCAAACTTGAGCAATCTTTTGCAGCTTTCAAATCTACCAAATTGAGAAATTTACATGTTGAGGGTAATCATGTAGAGTATACTATAAAGTCTCTAGCCTAGAACCCATCCAGCCGACGGTTATTCCGGATTCCAACAACATTAGGATGATAGCAGTCGAGTTAGCGTCTGTCCGATTCCACTTCTCTTTTCCTATGGAAGGGGTGGCCGTTACCTCGAATGTAAGAGGTATAAAACTGGTAAAAAAGGGCATAAAAGTGAGACTACAGAGAAATCTTACAAACTACATCGATCTCAGTCTGCAATGTACCAAGATTTTGATTCATTCCAACGAATGACGCCGAGTGAAAATCACCACTGATATAATCTGGGCTAATGCAGAGGCCAAACAAATTTAAAAGGTGTCTTGGAAAATAGCGATAGCAGTTGAATGCACTATTATATTTACCTGCGAAGAAGAATACTATGAATGTATATGTTGCAATGATTCCAGCCAGTTTCATCTTGCTCGTGGATTCTTTAAGATCGACGATGACTTCCGAAGACTTGTAATGCGTGATATGTGACTCGCAGCTAAGCAGAGAAATTAGCTTATATCTCTTTTGACGGTTAGGCCTACAGCGGTGTTATTCAAGGTCATCATCAACAGAAAGGTTTCCACTTTATCTGTTTATGGTGACGATGCTTTAGTCAGCTTAGTTTGCACGAAGAGGTACTTCTGACCAAAGAATACTCCCTTTAGTCATAAGGTCACTTCCGTGACGCGAATAAGTGGATGAACGTATGATTACTAAACAAACGTGGTTCGATTCTATTTTGTCTTAAAACGCGTGATTTTGATAACGTACCGCATAATGAGTGGGACAAAGACCACAAGACCCTGTAAGAAGATCAAAGTAATAAGCAATGTTTCAAATTTGGTACGAAAAGCTAAATTGCATTGTTTGGGCGAGAAACATGATGGAAAGGTGTCTTATGGGTGGAGTGGAAGAAATCAGGAAAAGAATTTAAGAATTTACGATTTTAAAAGTGTTATCAACAAATCTTCAAGTGAACTGGAGACTAGATGCGTGACACTCAAATACCAATGAGATGAGCAAGTTATGAAAACTCTATCAGCACTTATGTCTTGCAAGTGAAATTTCTGAGATATAATGGCCTCTCATAACTTGATTTATTACAAAACGGTCAATCTGGCGCATTGGAAATTACTAAAGTATTGTTGATGTTCGACATATAAAGCGTGCTTTGATTGCGTGGTTTAGCAAGTATACAGGACGTGTGCTGAAAACATGCTTTATCCGATTAAGAAGATAGGTCATTTAAAATTAGCCTACCGTCAGATTTAAATTCCGAGAAAAAATAATCAGCCAAAAAGTACTTTCCTTATTGCAAAGGTAAAACGTGAAGGAACCAGCAAAATCTTGAATTTCCCACCAACTGCCGCTGCTTGACAACATTGTTGTGGCAGAAAAGTATGAACCAAAAGAAAACAAATCGTGCAAAACAAAACATACCTTTTTTAACGTTACTTGTCAACTGTTTTGGATTATTAGGCTCTACTAATCTTAGCCCTCCATTTAATCAAGTTTGTTTTTTGTTTTAAACTTAACGTTTGGTCAGATTTTGTTGGGTAAGTATATGAAAAATACAAAAAGCTCCCCAAGTAGAAGTAAGTTGTTCTACATAGAAGAAATATCTTTACGCTCTCGCACCCGAATGGGTTTGGCTAGATACATTCCCTCGACTACATTTATATCAACGCTTTCGCCGAAAAAAGCAATGGCAAAGCCGCAACCGTACAACAAGTTATCAAATTAATTTAATGAACGTTTGGATATTTTAAAGCTTTTTTGAAATCTAATGTGAACTTGTTGGCTAAAAAGCCAAGAGCTTTACAGTTTGGAGGAGAACATTGCTTCCCAAATTGTATTCATTTCTCTTTAAGTATTGGCAACCTTTAGGTAATGTAAGAAATCATTGAGTACTAAGCAAATGTTAACTTGCTGGATCTGTGAGGAAACGCCTTTGACAACAATGGAACGGTCTCCCTCATGCATTTAAAATTAAAATAATGATTGGACCATCATTATTGACCACATTGAACAAAAATAGCCAAAGTCTTTTCCTGTTTCCTCCCTTCTTCGCTTACACGCAGTAAGAATTACAGCCCACACACAAGAATTTATAAACTACACACGCACACAAATCTGTCGGCGAAACCACTTGTCAATTTTCTATACACGTGCGTAAACACTTGTTTATGATCGGATCTCACACATATTCAAACGAAATTTCCACTGTTGCATTATGCTCTCACGATTATTTTAGTGCCTTACGTCACGCTTCGAGCAGTTTCCAACCTAAGGTTAAGGAATCTTAACTTTTCAATGGGAGCAACTCAACGTTCAAATTATCAACCGTTGCCCTACAATTCAAAAACTTTCTTTGCAAGCCAACATTGCATTGTTAACTTTTCTCTTCTTTGTACCAATTAGCAATGTGCGTAACACTGTACAACTCTATACTTGCGTTGATTTGAACTGAAGAGGACAACAAAACTGTGGAAAAATGTTTGTAAAATTAAAAAGCGTTGAGCCAATTATAAATTGAAATGACCATCAAGTACTTTGATTTCCTGTCAGATCCTCTGTTTTTTTTATGTTTTTTGTTTCAACTTCTTTTTTTAATTTTTTTTTAAAGCTTTATCTGACCATGGAAATCATTACTAAAAATAACACGGAATTACATGCCACAGGGATCTTAGCCGACGTGCAGCCGTATCTTCTCACCCCCAAGGAGGAAACGGAAGGGAGGAAACGTTTACGAAAACTTGACACAAATCGTGTTCTGTGACGTCATTCTAATCAATGCAAAATAATGTAACTTGATAATATTTTTTGCGAAGTGGCACGCACTAATGTGAAATGTCATCGAGGTAAACAGCAACATTGGAGTAAATTTATTTTCTATTATTTCGGGGAAATTTGTAATTCAGTGTCCGCGTTCGAATATTTACTTTGCTTTAAGGATATAGAGAAAGCCATTATGAGCGATTTTGCTAAAGAGAAAGAAGAGGGCGATGTTCGATCAGCATCGCGCTTACGAAACTAGATTTAAACCTCAAGCCAACTGGGAGCAGTTAGCATAAGTAGCGCATAAATAGCGCTATCTACTGCGAGGATCGTGCATCATACGTATCTAATACCGCAGTTCAAAATATATGAACTTCATATATTTATTCTATCTCATTACAAGTATTATGTTTACTTAATGGTTTTACATTTAACCTATTGTGTTCATCCTACAAACAGTGACGAAACGGCTGCTTAAAAACTAAATGGAGATGATATGAAATAATTACTTTTCGAAAATGCTGATTTTTTCGCTTTTCAGAAGAGCTGAATGTTGTTTTCGAGGCCCTTTGAATAAGAAATTCATACAGTACTAATTGGTCGACTTTGCTACCATGGGAATGTGCTGTACTTCTTAAAAAATTCTTTTTATAATGCTATTTAACACGGTGGTGTTCTCGAAAAACTTGCTATTGTTTCTCCAGAACAATCCTTGTTTGAATAGACCCGTTTGTTTTTAAATCGCGCCCTATATAGGTTTTGCACAGCAGCCATGTTGGATGGCAGGAACAATAGATTATAATACCCATGGGAAAAAAATTTCTTTCTCATGCAAAATATTTTTATTGTTCCTGCCATCCAACATGGCTGCTGTGTAAAACCTCTATAAACAAAGGTAAAATGGCTCAGAAGCCGCCGTGTCATTTACTCACTGCCTATTGTTTGGCGTGTCATTTCAATTTTCCCGCGCGCTCACCTCAGTATTCCGTTATCCTATGGATTTACGACAGTTTACCAACTGTGGAAAAACGCCAAATTGTCGTTTACAGAATGGTTTAAGTGGTTGAAAGCCAATCAATAACAGGAGTGAACTGTGAAAAGGCGAACCTCCTTCATGCTTAATAATAATAATAATAATAATAATAATAATTTATTTCTTATATAGCGCTAGTTACAATGACAGATCAATAGCGCTTCACAATTGATATCTCTAAATATTAAAATCTCATCTAATTCAAAAATAATTACGTATTACGGTTAAATTGGCTATATAGAATTCATAATTTAACCACTATTGAAAGGTTTGCCTAAAAAGAAAAGTCTTAATTGAATTCTTAAAAATTTCTACAGATCGTATATTGCGTAATTGCATTGGTAGCTCATTCCATAGATGCGGTGCAGCTGCCTGAAATGCACGTTTACCCAGGGTTGCCAGCATTTTGCCTCTAGGTGGCTCTAATAAAATACCTGAGTTAGATCTAAGATTGTACAAGGACTTGCGTTTGATAACTAAAAGATTGCTAAAATATGCGGGTGCGAGGCCATGGATGGCTTTAAAAGTTAATGATAGGATCTTAAAGTGTATACGCGCTAGTACTGGTGACCAGTGTAACTCATAGAGTGCTGGAGTAATGTGTGAATACTTCCCGATATCCATAATTAGTCTGGCGGC